GTGGATCAGACCTTTAGGTCGAAGGATCCGGGTGTGGCCCCCTAAGAAGACCACCTGCTTCGGTCTGGGCACCCGGGCAGTATCACAGCCCACACACAAATCAAGTGACTTGTGTGGCGCATATATATTCGGTGCCTTTTTGTACCAGTATTTATACTCAAATAAATAAAATAGATCAATGAAGATCGAGGTCGACAGGACAAGCTATGAGTAAAGTGTAAATAAGTTCGAAGACTTCACTGCTACCTAGAGTTTTTGATGATGTTGGTCAAAAGAACAATCAAAGCCTAACGACCAAGCAATACAGCTTAGAGAACAAAACTCCACCTAAATCATCCATTTGAGCTACAAATCTCCACATGCTTGCACTGTGGCTCCAGGCGATTAGAAAGCTTCTTTTTTCAGCATCTTTACCGAAAAGAAACACAGTCTGTATATTAGAAGTTGATAGGTGAATGCAGTGGTGGGCGATTAACCTCTGAAGTCAGACGACAAAAGTGCTGTCTACAAAGGATTACCTTTGACAGAGTTAAATAAAAATGGAAAAAGTAGCAATCCACGACGAGGACTAATTGATTTTAATAACAGTTTGTCCAAATCTGCGGCTCGACTAGCAGTGTTAGAGTAGAGAGCTATCGCAAGATTTATGAACTTCTTTGTTACGCCTCTCAATGACGAATATTCATAAAACTCGTCGATAAACACAGATGAATGCTGACTTCAGGTTAAGAAATACCACTACACGTGTGCATCGATATTTATGTCTATCGTTTAGAAGCTCAAGAAAAGTGAATATCTGGTCTACAAATCTAAATAAGATCTGGAACCAACCTGATTTTCATAGTCTGCTATTTGTGAGCTCTAGTTAAGTGTCCAATAATTATTGAGGCTATTATATCAGACGTTATATTAGCCAAACTGATTCCTGTGGTTATCACATGAGGATTTTAGTCCTTTCACATACACTGGGACGATCATTGATGGTGAATAGTCGGATAGAATGAAGCCTATTTCCCAGACTGGATATTGTTCCAATTAATTTAACTACTGACACTGAACCACAATACTTAAAGATCTTAGGGGTGAACTCATCAGGACCAACTTATGCCCCTCGCTTTAGACTTGTTAAAGACTTCTCAAACTTATCAAAAGTTGGAGGGTCATGTTAACATTCTTTTTATCCAGGTTGTTTGGTAGACTGTAGACAATTGGATGGTAGCTAAACACTATTTAAAATGTTATTCAAATATTCTTTCCCATCACTCTAGACGTACGGGCGGAGAATATCTTGTTTTTCTGGTCATAATCTCACCAGCAACTGATTTCTCGACACCTGATTACTTGACAAGTCCGACAAGCTGTCTACTTTACCTACTAATCTTGTGTCTACCTACGATTGCTCCTCAGACTTTTGTCAGTATTTTTAAGTTGCTTTCGCTCGTCATCATAGACTTGAACTTTTATCTGCTAAGTGGGTGTTACCAAAATCCATTACAATTTATTGGTCTTTGATTATATACTACTGATATATAATATTCCTGTGTTGACAGTTGCTTGTGTATCATGGCAAGCTATTTCAAGGTGAACAGCACTTTTCCAGTCAGCTGAGATCCGTCAATTGTCCTTGATTTAGACTTTTAGTCTCGTTTTACTGAAGTAATAAATTATGATATACACAGAAATTGCTGGAATAAGATAAAAAGGGGTGGAATGGCAGATGTACGAGTAATTTGGTTTAGAACTGAGGGGTAACAGAGAAGATATGATTTAAATGATATCCTCGAATCGACTCATCCCAGTGTGTGTGAATAAGGGTCCAATCAGAAGGAAGCAAGGAGAATAGGACTTACGTATAGAAACCAACATGCTTACGATGTTAACAGCGTAAATATGGTACATGTACAATATAAACGGATTGATACAATTGTATCATAGTTTCTCGCTTATATTCATATCCTTAACTGTCAATAAAGTATCAGCACATAGGTCTACCAAAAATATGAAATCATCTTATTTTATATTGTATTTTTACTGAACTGGTTGATTTTTACCAAAGTTTGCGGCATGGGATTGTAGCGGTAAATAAATCAAAACTTCAAGATCTACACGGTAAAACCAAATCAAAGATAGTACGAGCTGTTTCTTGTAAGCCTATTTATAGTCATTCATAAACAAAGTAGGAGATAACTTCCAACATTATCTCGTAAACCGTACCGAGGAAACTCCAAGTTAATCAAAATTACGTAACGCTCTGCTTTAAAAAATGTTGTTGACGCATCCAATAAACAATAAATCGACAATAAACTAGTGTACAAAGTGGGGATAGGGTTATATCACACTCATGAAGCACGCTCTTATGATAATATTGTGGCGAAATAAGCATCGCCTCATATATCTCTGGTCTACTTGACAGATGTGAAAAGTGGCCACAAGGTTTCACTTTCAGCTTGGAAAGGACAGGAGGCTAGGTCCCCTGTGTTAGTCCTGGCAATGGAGGTCAATCAGTTGTTCCAACTTACTTTTGAAAAGATCTACAGATGAAGCTTCAATCACATGCTAGGGTAATGAATTCCATTCCTTGATAATAATTATATGGAAAAATCGACCGTCAGTTGATAAGTAATTTGCTCTGTGTTTATGGAATAACCTCGTAAATTCTCTGCTTTAGGAGACAAGAAAAATAGGGGAATATCAGATACGAATTCACCACTAAATAAGTTGAAATCTGTGATCGAGTCGCCTCTGGTCATTTGATATGACAACAGAAATAGGTTTAGTTTAGTCAGTCGAGCATCATACCAGAGTTTTCGCTATACCGGGAATAAGTTTGTTCGCGGTTCATCAGACCTTCGCCAGAATTTCACGATCTTTTTTTAGACAGGTGCTAGCCGCCTGGATCCAGTGCTTAAGTTTAGGACGCACGAATACTATATACAAAATCAAAGGGATCTTATCATTTACAGGGCCAAAGGCCCTATTCATTTACCATTGTGTTCCAAAAACTTTGACGGCTATCGCACGGCAGTGTGCAGTAGTTTCCAAGTCTCAACTATATACGAGTTTTAAGTAATTGTGTGTCTGGAAAACAGGTAGCTGTGTCTATTGGTAAATTTGGGTCTTTAAGGATGCATCAAATTTCACGAGCCACTAATAAATCAGTGAGGCAGGAATAAAGTATCTTAAAGCCATGCTGTTTTTCAGAAAGAATCCAGCTTTGTCAAAATACGCAGACAGCCAATTCCGAATAATCTTTTCTAAACTTCTAACACTCACGCTGGTTACGCTAACAGGTCGGTAGTTTTGAAGACAGAACTTACTATGGCGTTCTTCCAGTAGTTTGGTAATCAACCTTAGGTAACAGATAGATTAAAACATATGTGGTGGTATTGGTCCTAACCAAACAATCCTCAAAGCTGAACATGACATAACTGGCAAAATGCATATTCCACAATTAATACGAAGAGAATGTCAAAAATGGAGAGTGCGGGAAGAATCTATCGCATGTAGTCAGATGGCATGACTCAGTCTTGCAGACGTGGTCATTCTGTATGACTTACCTTTACTCACCTTAAGTATGTTATTATATCTTTGACCTAAATATGTTCTTTACAAACGGCAAATGTTATATCGCGGATTGTAACGATACGACGAGTCGGGATAGACAATTATGTGACTTCCATATAGGATCTTATTGATTAGATCATGATATATCTACAATTTTTGGATTAGGTCTATTATCATAGTAGTACTAATAACGAAGTAGACCGTAATTGTACAGTACTCTGTGGTGTTCGAACGAACTAATGATACTTTTGTACTTGTTGAATGCTCGATTTCGAATTCCAAATACAATACATTCGTTTGTGCTTGTGTCTTAATTCTTGAATGAATTGAGTTATTTCTGGGACTTTTAGTTCATACTAAAATTCAAATATTATATATGCTTAAGGGATTCGTGACGATATTTTCCAATTCATTTAGTAACCTGTGATGCCTCTCATCGGGTCCCATGAACTTGCCTATATCGAGTTTACTTAGCAGACCAAAGACATCGAGTTCTTTTATGGTCGCAGTATTCACTGTGTGTGGGGGGGCTTGTATAAACAGAGGATAAGAGTGACTCTACCATATGTACATTCCTAAAGTAATTTGAGAATACCTGGGCTTTATCATAGTAGTCCTGCACTAATGATCAAGTACTAATGTCTCCACATAATGGTGGAATATTTTCTCATCTCTTAATCCCTTGGTTTATGTACGAATATAGGCGTTTAGGGCATTCTGTAGATTCATTAACAAGTCCTTCTTTGTACAACCTTCTAGACTTACGGGGGGTCAAAGTACACATTTTTCGACCTTTACGAAATTGAGATTTTGTCTCGTCAGCGCCCAGTGACCTAAATCTCTCACACATTCTTCTCTTGAGGAGATGGGTGAAAACCTTCCTACTGAACTATGATGGAGAGTTTTGTCGGACCCCTGACGCCATCCAAGGGATGTGACGTGCAGTGACTTTCAAGTAAAAATTTCTAAATGCATCCCAAGGGGTGAATTTATCCGCAACGCAACCATGTAAACTTAATGCATCACCCAGTGTAATAACGGTATAGTATTCTAATTATAGTATGAATTAGGAATTCCAGGATTAACGCAATTGAATTAAGAAGACACAGGCACAACGAATGTACTGTATTTAGAATTCGAAATCGAGCATTCAACAAGTACAAAAGAATCATTAGTTAATTCAAACACCACATCCGCCACAGCTTAAATAGAAGTATAAGTGTTTGTAATCGGTTGTACGTCTTCTTGTTAAGTTCATCCTGAGTCTGTCCGACATTGTATAAGATAAAAACTTTGTAGTATCTAGAAAGTGCTCATTAGTATTGGAATTAACAAACAAAATTGGAACAGACTCACCTGGAATTGTATACAATCAGCATGTCGGTTTTGTACTTAAATCTTTAATATCTAGAATTCGAACCACAGGTTTTTCAACACTATCCTCCTCCACGAAATAATGTTGGATCTTTATATCCCCAAGTTATGAATAATGTGGCTTCATTTAAAACATATTTCTCACACTGTTTAGAGTAAACATTAGAACTGTTTTTGTGATAAGAGTAAACAGCAGTTGATATGAAATCATCCGAAATATAATAAAACTCGAGGTCACTTAGTACTCGTGCTTCGCATTGGGCAGGTTTTTCACGAAGATCAAATACATTATGAGGATAGGTAATATATGATATGACATCAGGATTTGATTCTTCTGAAATATTCTCATGAAATTCATCAGGACTGTCGTTGCAGAGCGTAGGATCGTTAGAAAAATCAGCATCTATCCAAACCACATCAGGTTTTCGATCATGATTAGGTTCATTTAACATATTTTCCTCAGAATTGCAAGTAATTTCATTAGAAATATGTGAATCATTAGGAAAAGTCATACTTGGTACAATAGCATGAGAATTCTGATAAATCGGTTGATTAGGAAATGTTGTCTCACAAGAATTCTGGATTTCATTTAACTCTGAACTGCCATATGACTCTGCACTGTCTTTTGAAATCGTTGATAAAGATAAATGATCATCATGAATACTCGACTCAGTAGAATCAGAATTACAAGACTTAATATTAATTGCAGTAAGATGAACATTAGCATTACAAACTGACTGAACTTGTCCAATATCACGACATTTGAAGCATTTAGAATTATGAAATTTACATGAATTAGAAGAGTGGAACTTGCAACAGGACAAACACTGACCAAACTTGTCCCCATCCTCGTGAACTGCATCCAAATTCAATGAATTGTCTGCATAACCTTGAGTATGCACTAGGTTGAGATGACGTAGTAATGTAGTGGACTTTTTTATATCCTCATGAATCATTTTACGAAATCTTCCTCCTTTACGACATTTGAAATTTGTATACTGAGCATAGTCTAGCAGTAGATCCTTGAGAGCTGTATAAGAAAGCGAAATGGGTTTTTCCGGCATAGCCAGAGTTCTTAATAAGCTGTATGCTTCTTTTCCAATGAATGTGAGGAAGTGTGCCACAATATTAACATCCTCATCATCTTCCTTGGTCATAGCCCAGATTTCGAACCTTTCAAAGTAATCTTCAAAAGCTTCTGAAGTTGAATGAATATCTAACTTTTCCATTGCAGGCTCCATCGCGACGCCAATATAGTATTCTAATTATAGTATGAATTAGGAATTCCAGGATTAACGCAATTGAATTAAGAAGACACAGGCACAACGAATGTACTGTATTTAGAATTCGAAATCGAGCATTCAACAAGTACAAAAGAATCATTAGTTAATTCAAACACCACAAACGGTCATCTGTACGTTCAAGTAACCACAGATTTAGTCATTTCATAATGTATTTGCAATTAAATAACTAGATTATGTAGCTAATTTTGCTGTTTTTAATTTTTATTCGCCACGTCCGACTGCGTTACACTGCACGTCCATTGCACGCTGGGATAACATCTCAAGTCATTGTGAGTTAAATCACATAGTTTATTGTTTCCAGATAGACCGTCAGTGCATGATGTTACTGAAGAAATGTTTGTCGTACTGTAGACTTCGTTTTTATGAACAACTGACTGTTGTCTTCAGTCTGAAAGCAATATATATGTATCCTTCGTCTTCTGTTAGGTAAGTTCAACTGGCCTTTATTTCGTGTTTTGGTCCTATCGGCTGAATTAAGTTCATTTTACTCCGTTTAGCAACATGTCTGTGCAAATGGAACAATAATTATGACACTTGCTTAGTTTAGTATTCTTGGTTGCCGTTATAATTTAGATCAGTCGATAGAATTATAGTATACTTAAGTATAGTGCTTAAAGCCTGTAACGAAACGGATCAGTTTAGTAAGTAGAGCTGTCTGTTTTTAGTGAGTATACTGATTCAAATCGATCTGATTTAAAATAGAAAAAAAAACCTGCCTTTGATGCTGTTGCTGTCATATATTATAAGATAGCTTTAAGTACGTTTGGTGTTTATTTGTAGACAGTACGTCTAACACTGTTCATGTTTCAAGACCACTGTCATTAGACAGTTTCCTCAGCAATAGCATCGGTAGCAGGATAGCTAAATGTCTAAGCTTTTATTTGCCTGCAGAAGAGCAGTATACAGTCTTAGAAGATGAGTGTTCTGTGTCTCAATTAAATGCAGTTGGCTATGGAAAAATGTTAAAAATCTTTTTGACAACTGGAAATTTTAGTTTATCAGCCACTAACTCTGTTTGTATGTCTTCCTGTTAAACTAGACGCAGATGCATGGGAATACTTAAATGAAAGCAAAATAATAAAAGCATTGCGATACGGTATCAAGTCCATGTTATGCTTTGCACATGTAATAGTAGCTGACCTGATCTAATATTCATGAACTCAAGGTAAATCACAACTGCATTCATTCTTTGTTAAAAAACATGTAATTTGGTTATTCATCTATTCCACATTTCTGACTAAATTCATTACTATTTTCTCATTTAGAATGCAACAGGACTGAGACTTCACATATCCTAAAAACTGTTTCGCCCGTAGAACTATGGCCCTATTAAACTGTTTACGGGAGACCTAACTAACAGCAGATTATAAAAAGAATGCTGGATTTCCATTTTAGTCCCACAACCACTTCCAGTACTTTCTGAGTTACTTCTTTTACCCTTTCGTTTGGAAAAAAACAACAAAAGCTTGAGCTTAACATTACCAATGCAACTTTTAAACGGGAACATGGTTTAGACCTTTGTTTGACATTCGATTCTTGATGAAAGTTCTCGAATAAATTTTTGAATCTAGTGCTACTTTGTCTTATCTACTTAATCGTTGCAACAAAGTTGTGATACACGAGCCTCTCAGCACCTAATTCATGTGTTCAGGCTTCCGTGTCTAGTAGCAGGGGATCACTAAAACCTCCAGGCAGGAACCTAGGTATGTTAACGATAAGAGAGGAAAAAGAAATCGGTAAATCATAGTATGATACTATCCTTAAGGACAGATCCAGTTGCCTCTTAAAGGACTCCTGGGAAGTCGCTTGGACTAGCTCGGCGGGCAGCGAATTCTATCATTTGACAACTTCTTAGGAGTAGAAGTTGTGTCTACAGTACGTTTTCCTATGTTGTCTCCAGTTTCTGGGTGTTACCCCTTAAGTTAGTGTTGGAACCAAGCTTAAGTAGGTGTTTGAGAGGATGTCCAGAAGTGTTAAGGATACTGTAAACCATTAGGTCACCTCTAAGGCGTCTATACTCTAATGGGTTAAGGTTAAGTGATTGCAGGCGCTCTTCATAAGGTGATTTGGTACATATCTCCGTCATTTTCCTGAGAAACCTACAGACTCGGGTCCTCTCACAACTTATCCTAGCCACCATGAGTTGTCACGGCAGATAATAGATGGACACGCGTTACACATCCTAACCGTTCCTGTGTCTAATCCCATAGCTCCTTATTCAAATGCCATATGATAAGCAAGCAATGTCCCTACCCGCACTAATGGAACACTAGTAAGTCAAAGGCACCCTGTATGGTACCTTACATTGGTCTACGCACTCGCTTAGCTAATTAGTGAGAATATTACTACATTTCTGCTAAAAATCCCATGAATCCCCCTATCTCCATCAAAAAAGTCTGTATTTGCTGCATAAAGCAATTTTATTTTTCAGAACTAAGATATAACAGAATTGGAGTAAAATGGCAGTATACAGCAGATGCACGTGGCACATGTCTTCATCGATTAAATGAAATAGAGAATACGGATATTAGCTTAACAGGCTTATTTAGAAAGACTAGTGTCTACTTTGAACTTACTGCGTGAGAAAGTTATACTGGAACTACGAATAATGTAGGGAACTAGTCTCCTAGGGCGTACGAAGCACTCAAACCAGAAGACAGTTCTCCAAAAATAATTCGAATATGAAGGTGAAGGTTTGCAGGTACTTTTCATCGTAAGGGTGAACATATTAGGTACCGGTTGACGTCATACCGTAAAAAAACAGATTACGAGTGGTGAAATATGATCTATAAGAAGGTGAGCTTAACAACAGTTAATTACCTTTTTACTCCCTGATCATGACCCTTCGGCTTCCTTTTATGACCAAAACAGCAAACATACACTACACACTGATAGCAGATTTCCGGCTTTTCAATGTTAAGTTTGCTTTAACACATAACGTAGTGAGTAAAACCCTTCTATTACTGTTATATGGTATATTTTTCATAATAAACCCTCTGCAATAGATTGGTAGCACCTGTGACTTTATCTATGGTTATCGGAAGTCTGAGTTCTTTCGAAAACAATACTGGTATCCCCTACTGCTGGGCACTCTGTATTAGTTTGGCTCGTTGGTGGGGTAGTGTTGTCCATAGTACTGAATAAAATTGAAAACCGGAGATTGTTTCCTTTCATTTTGCCGATAACATCATAAAGGACAGTTAGGAACGAACATTCGGACAGTTAGTCACAGGCGGCAGCGACAATTATTTTAGCTAAAAAACGAGCTTCGGCTTTGGATATCTAGAAAACAAGTCAAAACAAAACCGATAAAACTAGCCAGCTTGGCTGAAGAAATACATTGACTTCAGTAGAAGCAGCCAAAATCCAGAAAACAAAGCGAAATGAAGGAAAATTTTGCTCCAACATTCAGAGTATTACATTAACTTCTGCTTTTTAGCACAATGAAACATTAAATTCTCTAGCTTCACAAAAGAAATAGCTGAAAGAAGCACAGAACGAAGAAAGCCGACCGCCATTGCTTACAAAAATGGCTGATAAAATAATTCCCGCCTCATTCTGATTGGTTGCTAAGCTGAAGGACACATTTACGAAATTGAGTTGCGTTTAATTGCAGCCCATCCCAAGCTATTTCAATTGGGGACCCTAGCTCTTTTTTCCAGTCTGTTGAAGATGCTAAGTGTATAATATCTCCTACATTTGCTTTCCAGATGTAAGTTTCAGATTGAGCTACATGATCACTTCTACGTAAAGGTGGCATGTAGCTGAGGTCAATATAAGGTCTAGTAAGGATGATCCAGTATCCGGGTTGTGCCTAGATGCCTTCTTCATATGTTGTACTAGGGCACATGTGGTAGCCACACCAACTAATTTATATTTGAAGGAATTTTCAATTTAGTGAAGATGGCACAGGTATTCAGTGTTTGACAACGCTTTTACCAGCAACACCTTCTAATATAATTTGTACCCACCGAGAAAAATCAAAAGACAGAGTCAAGGAGATCGGAAGAGTGTATTTGGCGATTACCAATATATCGGAATTCTCTGATTTAATCTGGCTAGCGATTGCGGTAGATGTTGAGCACAGCGTTACCATACGTGATCTGGTGCGGATGCATGACCATGCGCCTTCTGCTAGATGAGTCTGTAGTGGCATTGGACAATAGCCACACAATCCACAAAGCTGAACACGAGACTACTCAGAAAAT